CTGCATCATATCAGGTGGATTTCCCGGGGCACGAGCGCCTGCGCGGTGGGTGGAAGAAGCAATTTCTGGACGCTGGGAAGGTAGGCCTCGCTGTTCGCCTGAACGGGTTCCCACCGAGTCCTCTCCTTTCTCCCTGGCCCTTCGTACTCCTCTCTCCTACACTCGTACACACCTTCCCCCCACCGTTCCCTGCAACGAAATATGATTTTCTTCAGTCCTTTTCCTTTGTCCTCCCCCTGTCTAAAAATCTCCTCTGGCTCGGCTGCCTGACTACATTGATGCGGCTCCTTGTTCCGCGTACAATTTCCATGCGAATTTGATTCTGAATATCTTCGTTTGGGATGACACCCTTATTTAGGTGGCGGGTGTGATCTTCGTCGTCGATGCTGCTGATTTTTCAACTCATAAAGTTCGGGAAGCAGCAGAGTAGGGAAGGGAGGGAGGAAGGGAGGGAGGGTCAAAGGGAGAGAGTGTGGGTGGGATGGCGTCTTCTTGCTCGCAGTTTTGTTTCAGTTTTGTCTTTTTTTATCTCATCTCCTCCCTGTCCTTCAACTCCTATCTCCTGACAGGTTTCTCTACGACATTCTCACCCACGCCGCAATGGACGACGGCCCCCCCCTCCTCGTCGCCTGCCATAAAAGCGACCTCCCCGGTGCCAAAGCGCCCGCCCGGATCAAGGCTTTGCTGACATCCGAGCTGTAAGTGGCATGTGAGAGAGAGCTGAAAAGAATTGTGGGCGCGTGGGGAAAGGATGTGCGTCGCCTGAACGTGGAAGAGGATACGTCATCACGGAGGCGGTCGGAGGGCATCATGTATTTACAGACTAGTCTGATTCGTGCATGTAACCACGACCGATATACGGCAGGGAGCGTCTCAGAAAGACGCAGGGAGGAGCCATGATGGATGGGAATGGAGAAGAAGAGGAGGATCGATTGCCTCTGGGGCGGGTGGCAGTGCCGTTGAATTTGGATGTGGACGCACCCTCCGAGGTATGAGTATAAAGGCGGTTGGACGATCGACGAACCTGTCGAATCTGAGCGTCCATGTGCTTCTTTTCTTGTTTTGGTATTTCTTTTGTGTTCCTCGGTTTCTAATTTTTGAATCGTGTCTCCTTTCTTTTTCCTTCCTCGTTTTCTAGCTCACCTTTGCGTCAACAAACGTGGCTCAGCAGACACAGTTTGGGGGAAATGACGCGATTGAAGAAGATATAGGGCCTTTAATGACCTTCATAAGTGATAAGATTGGACGTTGAATGCAAGGACAATGAACGAAAATCTAGAAACAAGAAGCGCTCAATGAGGAAATATCACCTTTCCGATGCCTTGGTTAATACATCTTGTTCTTCGCATTTTCCCCGCGACCGATGCCTTTCCATGCAGTAATAGTGCTTCTCGATTACTCGAGTAACAAATCAATTCTCATGCTTGTGGTAAGAGGGGTGAAATTTGGGCGTGCTGTCATTTCCTATAGATTGGAAAATCTTTACGAATATCGCATTCTGACATAGTTTCCTGCTGTTTGCCTTTGTGTAAGCTTCCGTATCTCATTTACCGAATACGTCCTGATTTCATTGTCAACTTCCTTCTTTTCCACTTTTAATCTCTGTGACGTGCAAAAAAAGTAAAATGGTTAGAAGTGAGAGTATACGGAATTTGAAGAGCGGAACGTGTTAACCCCAAATATAGACCGCGTAAATTACAAATGGAGAAAGAGAGGGAGAAGCAAAGGGAAAGCACACGGGGATGGAAGGAGGACAAAGACGGTGCACCAATTGAGTGGAAGGATTTGGACCTTGCGGCGAGCAGGACGGGGGGGAACAAAAGCCTTCCCATTGTTATCTACGCTCCTTGTGCAGGTATCTCAGGGCTAGATAGGCTGTAATGGCCAGCCCCAAATAGATGGCAAAAGCGCACCCAAAATTTTCCATTATGGTGCTCGGAGAGCTGAGAGGAAAGTAATCGATAACAAACTCTACGGAGGTGCCTAGTATTTTACAGGCCATTAATATGACGTCAGCAGAAAGTATGAAGGAAAGGTATATAGAAGAAGTTAGTTCATTGAAGACTGCCACGTAACACTGCATTGCATGTATACAGGGTAGAGGTAGCGGATTGAAGTAAGAATTGACAGCACTTACCACGCAAAACATTCATCGAGAGAGGTTGAAAGGTGAATTTGATGAGGGATGCCCATTGTAGCCATGTGCTGTGGCGATAGAAGCTGTTAAACGAGACCATGAAGCCACCTGTAAGAATAGAAGCAGCTACATAGCCGGCTGCCAGGACGAAAGCAATGTCGTAATTGGGAGCCAGCAGGGCGGCAAGCTGCACACACATGCTACTCATATTAGTCTTTATAAATCGATGAGAGGGGTATGGAGACGTGTGGTAGGGGAAGAGGGTAAGCTCAGATTTTCTCATAAGACGGACCGATGTATGGACATTCGTGGGGAGGCATTTTCCCTTCTTCTATTTCTCCTAATCTGTCAACCTTCGATTCCTTTGGTTCCTTACCTGTAGAATAAGCCCCACCACATACACCATAAAATTGAAGGGGACATTCGTGGGCTGTGTAAAAGCGACATAGTCTATAAATAGGGAAAGTGTGAGAGGTAATGCTTGAGGAAGCCGAAGCCCGCCATAGTCCATTGTTGTGAAGGATCAGAGTGCAGCCAAAGAGTGGGAGCAGAAACAAGCATTTGAATGAAAAAAACTCGAACGCCTACCTAGGTTATAATAGACGATGACGGAGAAGAGGAGGCCCGAGAGAGAGTTGAGGATAGTCTCGAGAACAATATTGGACAGGAAATATACAGAGCACGGGTACAGTTTGGACGCCGCCTTAGGTGTGAGGGTAGGAGTAGGAGGGAGGAAGTTATGGAAGGTTCAAGATTAGCTGTATTCAAAGTGCGTTCACTCCATTCCTTCAACATCATAGAAAAAAATATACTTTGTGTATACTTGTACGTCTACATATTTTTCCCTATTCCCGTAGGCATGAGTGTCACTCGCTTCCTCAAACTCACCTCCACGCTATAAAATTGACGCTCATAGATGAATAAAGAGAGTGAAGCAAATGGGAGGAGAGTGATAGTCAGGATAGAGTAGAAGACTGAACCCAGCACATGTATCACAGCGAGGAGGGACTCGCTCCCTGCCTCCCGGCTTCCGATCCTAAAATAAACGAAAGCCTCTAGGGCGGCAATAACGAGGGTGACTGTCACTCGAGCCAAGGCCTAGAGAGAAAGAAGGAAAAGGAATGGATGAGCTCCTTTGCATGGCTGGCAATAATGTTGCCGAACGATCACCCCTCCTCTCCGCCGTGAAGTTCTTCGTCACTTAGCCCAATCCTAAGCACTATTCGTTACTCGCAATCTTGCACGCCTTCTTTTACTTCACGCTCCTAATCCTTACGTTTCCAGGATTCCTGTAGTAAGTGGTGTAGTTTCTTCGTAGAAGAACGCGAAATTTCCATAGCCACGAATTACCGGCCTCGATCAAGCCGGTCATGCGATCAAACAATGAATTTTCCGCTAGGTCACTGAGCAACGAAGTGTTGCGAGGGGCCAAAGTAGGAACGGGCTGCAATAGGAAAAGAAATTATGGAGGGAGGATTAAGAATTAGTCGAAGATGAAATGTACTTGACCCGCCGGTTGACGCCACTCTCTTGTCGTTGATCTCCTGCGAATATCACCTCTCACCAACTGCACTCATTCTCTTTTATGTTATACAACATCTCCCTCTGTTTTTGCCTCTCTTCTTTGCCTTATGTCTCTTCACCACCCTTTGAATCCCGTTCTTCTTCTCCATCTCGTCATTTATCTATCGCATCCTCTAAAACTGCTCTCCTTATTCCTCTTTTCCCTTCCTTCCTCCTCTTTTTTACACCTTACTTTAATGACCGGCTCCACATCTCTAGAGCTGGAGGCGCGGAATAAGGCAGCAGCATGTTCGAGGTCTTGGACGGTCTGAAGGGAGCTTTCACCATTGGCCTCAATATCCTTGACGAAGGAGATGTTCACTGGCGGATGGAGCGTAAAGACGAAAAGAGAAGCTTAATCTGGCAGACTGATCGATGCTATGTACAATCGGACACTTCAACGCCGAAGGGAAAGCCCTAAGTAAGTTTTTCCCCTGCACGTTGGATCCTTGCCGGCTGCTCCTCTTACCCACCTAAGTCCATGATGAAATCCACGGGCGATGTGCTCTGATGTCGGTAATACCCCAACGACTCAGCGAACCATCTTTCCGCTCCGTAGGTATCCCCGAAATACATTTGATGGCCCGCAGACAGCACCGTCACCTTGTCAAACAGTGTCCAAATGGCGGCACGGGGCTGGTGGATCGTGCAGACGACCATCATGCCACGCTGCACGAGAGATTGAGGGGAAAGTAGATTTAATTCATGCGCGTTGGTATGTCACCTTCTCTTAAACTCGCATTCTACGTATTATGCATTATTTTATGTGCGAATGCTTCTACTTGCGTAATTTTCGATTCACAATTCACTCAAAATTTCGCTTGATAGCCCTCTTGTATCCCCCCTATGCTTTCTTCCTTGTCTATTCATCTTTTACGGTATCATCTGCATACCTGACAGTATTTTTTTAGCAACTGCATGACCTGAAGGCGTCCAAGAAGACGAGAGAAACACAGAAAAGTGAAAAGAAAGAAAAAATCTTCAGCGCTTTGGAGACCAAAACTATGTGCCACAAGACAATACAGGATACAAAGAGAGAGAGGAAATTAAAAATTAGAAGGACAAGGAATTGAGAGAGAAAATGAACCATCATGCCGGAAACGAATTGCTTACTGCGAGGGCTGCAAAGCTGTCTAGCCCACTCGTAGGCTCGTCAAGAAAAAGTAGACTGGGCTCTGTGATAGTACCGCAACACAAAGACAGTCGCCGTTTCTCCCCTCCACTCAATCCACGAATGCGAAGACCACCGGGCAATGGACCACCGACATATGTCTCCTCCTTTCCTTTGAGACCAACGTCTTCAATTAGCCGGAGGGCTAAGGCATCTCTCTCCTGACTTGGCATCCGACGATCCAGACGCAAGCTGGCCCGGAACAAGACGGCTTCTTTGACAGTGGATGTGGGATGGAAGCTGTCTTCTTGTGTCACATAGGCAGTAAGGTGCTGGAAGCGACGCCGGCTAGCAATCTGCGAAAGATAAAGGGGAGGAGAGGTCAGTGTGGTGTGAGAAACAACGAAATGGAAGACCGGGAAAGAGAAGTAAGACAGAGGTAATGTAGACCGAGAATTGGCTGGGGGTACAAGGATCGAACAGACACTTTTTTTGTAGTCCCAAAGCTGACAGGCTGACATCGCATTTCGCTCTCCTCCAATCTTAGTTCCTGTCTTTCCCACCTCTCCGTCCAAAAGCCGCAGCCCCGAAAACTTCCCCACCGTCTTGCGCTCCGCCAGAATATCTAAGAGACAGGATTTCCCACTTCCCGATGGTCCAATAACCGCCAACATTTCACCCACTTCCAAATTACCATCAATTCCGTGTAACACCTGAACCAGCAACAGGAAAATAGAAGCTGAGAATCAGCTCATCTAAGTCATTATTTGCCTTTTCTTTGCGCGTCCTCAAATTTTGTCAAGCACACGAAACCAGCGAGAGTGCAAGCCTTAGAAATGAGTGGTAGTGGGCTCATATTATCCTCATGAGTCATCTATATCATTTCATGGTGGGCCATCCTCCCGCTTTCTCCCTCCCAGAGCCTCTTCTGTGTCAATGTCTTCTGACCTCAACCTCCAGCGGCCTTCCCTTTCGACCCTTGTTTTTTTCTTCGTACGAGCATCGTATGTCCCGCCATTTGTAGGAATGAAAGGTCGATGAGTCACTACTATCTGACAAGAAACTGCCTGTGCTGAAGGAGAGGGACATATATTGGGAGAGTGTGGGAATTTAAGATATGAGTAGGAATATGTGTTTCACCTCAGCCTCCTCACTTTTTCGGATTGGACAGCGAATCAAAAGAGCAGTGCCCTCCTCTTCCCTTTCATTCTTTCCTCCCACATACGTGTGTGAGTCACATCTCTCCTTACGCTGGAAAGTTTTCATTGTGTACTATGCGCGATTTTCCAGAAGACTTTTCTCTCTCTCCTCAAAGCAGTGAGCAACTTGTCTTGAGTGCTATACCTATTTGAAATGCTAGGAGAAAAAATGTGCTGAATATGTCGAACTATTCTTCCATATGTTCTTTACTCCAGTGCATGTCTCTTTAGACATATGTTGTTGCCGTTAGCAAAGGTTAGGTGTCATACACGAAAATGGTTATCTTTTATCATTTTAAAGCATTTATGCAATAATTAAATGATTCATTTGAAACACAATGTGACTACCGATACAAATATTATATTCGCCTGTTGTCAAGTATTAAACCTCCCGCATAGAATGTCGTGGTCTGCTTGCCATGACAGATGCGGCAAAGGAGTAAATAATCACTGAGCACAGGCAAGGCTAAAAGTTATCAGAAGCAGAAACATATTTGATAGTAGTGCGCTGTATCATCGCGATTCTTGGATGTTTTGAAAAAGCCACGGGGAGGTAAAGAAGGGCCTGCAAGATTATACTGTTTAAAATTTCCGACCTAAATGTATGCTTCACGTGACCGGCTGTGTGTTTTTTACAACCTTAACACTAAAAAAAAATCCAAAAGATTCTATTAGCCACACCACTTATGAATGCTTAAAAGTACGAGTATATTCTCGAACAAGAAGTCCTGCAAGGTAGAATGTTTTCTCCCGTCCTTGAGACTAGAAAACTTAAATTAAAAAAAGCCTACGTTACCACAGCCTCTACTTGGCCTTGAGTTCTCTTAAGGATAAGTTATTACCGGCACAACCAATAATTCAGGAAAATTGTGCGCTCACAGTGCACCTTTTAATAAGTTTTCGTTTTGGGGGGATGCGTAGGATTGAAACCGAAAAAGAGCGAATATTCAACATGATGAACAGTGTGGATCTTCCGGGAAAAAAATGGTGATGTAGCGCCTTTTGAAAAAAATTCTACGGGTAAATAAAAATTTCTTTAATTAAGTCTACTACGCTCCTCAGCTTATCTACAATTTAGGTAGGAAAGATAATGAAGCTATCGTAAAGCACCAAAATTCCAATCAGGTAGACATATCCGTTGGCTTGTATGGGAATATCACTTCTGGTTCTGAAATGATCTCCTTTCGACGTCGACTATCTCTTTTCTCTTTTCTCTAAGAGGCTATAGAAATCAAGAATTAGGTGGGTAGATGTTCAATTTGTGCGTATTGCCATATCAAAGTCCTCTTCCTCGTTCTCATTCGTTACGCCGAGAAGAAAACAGGTTCTCCTTTGAATCGTACTCATGCCGTATTATTATAAAAAAAATTGCCCTGTCATTCTTTTTCCAGAATTGCATTTCCTCATGAATGACGTTGTTTAAACAGCTTTGTTTTGCGCAAACGAGAAGGTGCCCCATCCTGCCGGCAGCACGCCTCCTTCCACTCCAACGCCACAGAAGTAGCAAGGGCCACAAGAGTAAGGGAATCTGGACAAACAAAAGAGGTGTTTTCTATATGACACCCATCTACATTATCTATATCACAAAACTAATCAACGTCATCCACCTCGTCGAGCACACATCAACGTCATCTACTTCATACTGCTTTACATCAATTCTGCGGCACGTCTGAGGCCATAATCCACCAATTAAGTGCCATCATAGACAACAACTTGTCAGAAGCTACGTATTACATGCTCATCAAAGATCCAGACTCGTCAAAGGCTAGGTACCCCTAAAAAAAACGTAGAACCAGCTTTTGACGAAGCGTATACAACAAATGTAGAGACCCTTACGGATCTCTATATTTCTAGTCAATGTGCGAGAGAAAGTCAGTAGAATCTCTTCTTCCTGTGGTATTCAGCACATCGATCTCTTCCCATCGTCCTGCTCGCCGGCATCTGCTCGCTGTTGCTATCATTCTTTTTGGTGTTTGGCTCTGTACCTAAATCAAAGTTATGAGCCACCAAATAGACCTCATCCAAGCGACATGCTATAAAGGAGGTGGGACTGGAGAAAGCGGGGATGTTTTCCTAGTGCCTGAGTTATAGCGTTTTCAATGCGCTGTAACATGTCCCTTACGCGGTTCCCGAAATACTTCATGACTTCTCAGATAGTATATAACGTCCTATCGGCCCTCATTTTTGGCCTTGACCGGCCGGAATGGCATGGTGGTTTACGCAGATGCTCGCATGAAACTTGTAAAAACTACAGGTGATGACGACGAGAAATGTGACAGGCGGATTATTTGAAGAAAAATTTTATGGCGGTCTTGTCTACCAAGTAGGCCACAAGAATTTCCCAAATGGTTCTGCATCACCGCTTTAGCTATGTATAAGGCTTGATTGAATCTTTCTGCTTGGAGCAATCGATGGAAGTACCAAGCGACAAGTATTTGGGAAGGGACAATGGAGGTGTGGGCCCATTTAGTAAGGATGGCGGAAGGATCCGTGGCAGATATCCCAGCAATATCGTTGACCAGAGCTTGCGCGGTCCTTGGATCAGAAATCATCAGCAACACGAGCCCTTAC